GACTCCTCCCCTTCCCCCCCCCCCCTCACCCCCCTCACCCCCCGCCCCCTCCCCCCCCCCCCCACCTCCCCCCCCCCCGCGTTCTACAGCTATTGCAAGCACATACCTATGTGACACACTCATTACACTCTACCGATCACACACTATGAGCACACAATTCTATATATAGAACGACAATGAAACTATACAGTAACCCAATAAAATAGCATAGACCAGGACAACCTAGTGTATATAACACATAACAATAGGTCATCCCTAGTCAAGAGACTGACTCAATCATCTACTTATACTACACTCATCCACCACAGCAAGTAAAACCACGCAAATTAATACCATTATCACACACCACACACAACAATTAATGACACTACCAATGTGTACACACATATCTTGCACTATATGTCAAGCACCTGGAGAGTAACTCTGTGACATATATACAATTCCATCCCTCTCTTGGGACCTTGTTTATGTACTAGCATCATCAGTCTGACGGATAAAGTCGAGACACGTTACAATGATGGAAGAACATATATACACAATACAATACAGATCAATTGTTTAATATGAGGACTAGAGCTAAATAACGATCTGTATCACACACATACATTCTAGTCAGAATTCCAAAAACAATCGAGATCCACTCCACCACACGAGACCACCACTTGCAAGCACCATAGATATCAATCACTGTGTCTTCTCTATTTGGACCATCATACACAAGACGAGTCATATTCGCTTAGAGCAGATCAGCGTGTCATCACTTTAATCCTATCTAGCATCTGACCCACCCCAATGTATTGAAGTCAAGTGTAGGTCTACACATCTGTTAACATCTCACGATGAGTTGTGAAAATTTATCATAGTTTAAATCTTCTTTGTACTAGACTAGTCTGATGAACAACAGATAAGTATATATGTACACAAAGATCATATATATACCCACACTCACTAATAATGAGATGTAGAGAGAGTCGCAAACAGTTTGTCACCAAGTTGAATACTGATCACCTTTTGATCACACATATAACTAGATTCACTATGCTTATAGTATTAGAGAATTGGTGTGGTGACTTGTACTATAGACGCTTACTTATGATTGTGATATGATGCTACTTATTATATCAACATCGCAACTTTTACTCACACCTCTGATAAGTTGCTCCATTGTCATATACGATCTATGTTGTACCTTATCGTGTAGACTTCGGTGTATTTTTTGCGCAGACGATGCTTCTTGAGTTCGATCAGCTACACACATACCACAATATATATGTACTTAGATAAATAACATCGTGGACGACTCCTATTACTGAGTGTGTCATCATATGATGTCTTTCTTGTGACACACAGATTATCCTGTCATCTGACTGTATTTCCACAATCCGATATAGTGATGGAATGAAACTGTATGAATGCACACCACAACAGACCGCTGCGCACTCGAACATGAATATGACAGCATGCTCTGGCACACATCGCAACACCACACACGTCACCGAAGACACAAGTGAGGAGTGATACACACTTGTAATACGAGCATAGACCACAACACCGTCACCGTTAGCATGAGCTATGATTCTATAGTGTCCACACCCGAAGCGTCCGAAATCGAATTCGTAGACCTTGAGCATGAGAACACTGCGCAGTGCCCTGTATGCCTTTGGTGTATTCGCCGCACACGAGTAGATGTGTATTTTAGCTCCTCTGACTTCTGGTCGTAAAGACAGTCACAAGCACCTCGCGTAGCTGCCCGTACACATTCACGGTGCTCACTCGCCACACTCGCCGTGTCTCCATGTGTCAACACCTTAGTTGTACATGTCTAGATCACACACGCGTCTTGCCTACCTTCAACTCTTCCCTTATTCGCACATCATACTACTCTCATACAGAGCACAGTATGATACACGGCATCCCTCCTGAGCCATAGATCCGCTCCTACGCTTACATCTGAGGTCCCCCCCGTGCCCCATCATAATGACCACACAGTACTAGGACATTTACCCATAGTGAGAGACGAGTCAGCACACACGTGTCGGAGACGACAACACACTGAGACAGAGCATTCTCACACGATGGGCACATCGACTCCATATGACTAGTACCAACCCTTTGGTCCGCCACCTTCACCCCTTATACACCAGCACATGCCTCCCCTCCTGTGCTCTCCTCAAATATATGTTGTACTCACCGTGCTCTTTCACTCCCGAAGCGCCGTGCTCCGCTTCCCATGACACACCACACCGCAGACACCAGTCCACATATTAATATTTTGTGTATCTCGTGATGATTGTTTTATCCTCGAGGTGATTGTCTATCGATTGACAGAGCAGTTTGCAATGAGACGAGTGTATCTTAGCTCCACTTCCCCCCCCTTTTTTTTTTTTCCCCCCCATACTACAATCACTCCTTCCGAGTCGTTGCCACGTGTCTGAGTCCCCATCGCATCGCCATAAGGATTGACAACTACGTAGTATGAGTGCCCCCGCACTACCGACTCAGTTGCAGAGCGATCGCTGATATGTATGTATCGTGTTTTGTGAAGTGTGAACTGACGCTAGGCCCTCACGTACGGCGAGCTCAACACAGTCACCCTTCATCTAGTTGGTTGTGTGGAGAGCACTGCGACCAGAGCGAGAGTACTACAGGGAAATCCCGTTCTTCGCATAGCACCAGCACACATCTTGACACAGAGACACCAATCGCCTTCACGAAGTTGCCCCCCCGACTCACCTATGCAGCTCACACACTCGCAGATCCTAGTTGTGACAGATGATACCAACACCACGACTCCTGTAGCACTCGTACGGACATGTATCAGATATAATCATGAGCTGCACTGTCGGAGTAGAACACACACAAGAGTATACACATCACACGAGAGGTATGCTCACAAATTTTTTGACCCACACCATACTCCGCCCACTACACCACATACGTATAACAGAGAAATGCGGAGTAGCATAGTTATTAGCGGTAATGTGAGAAAGAACGAAGAGCACGAGGAAATTACGAGAGAGAACGACATGAAGGAGCCCACCCATTTTCACAAAGCTAATAACAGACACAGTAAGCGAGTATGATTGCCAACCAACAGTGACACAGTGTGTGTTCCCGGCCACATATCATTTAAAGTCTCTAACCATCGGTTACTGTTGCCTTACGGACCCCAATCAGGTAGTCGACACCTACCCACATGGCTCAGTTTAGTTGTCAATGACTTCATGCATTCATGCCATGTTTTGGTCTGGCCGCCCACTAAATCACAAAACATTCCCCATTGAGGCAGTTGGTGGTTGGGCATACGTAACACATGCCCCAACCACCTCAACCAATGAACATTCACTACTTCATCTATTGCCATCTATCTGCCATCCTTACCTTGTACCCTATTTTCTAACATCAACATCGCTTACTCAATTCTCCCAGAATATATGAGCTATGATTGAATACTACTAACCTACAAATATATTCTCTCCACCCTTACTGATCCATCCGACCATAGCTGCTACCTTGATGTGGTGGTCGGGCTTGCCTATCGTGATGACCCAACCGAACTATACTGGCCGGAACATATGTTCCTGAAGGTTCTACCATGCCACGCAGGTCGATTGGAGAACAATGATACTAAAAGCAGCTACTCAAGGTCTGAGAGCGAAGTCGTACTGCTGACTCACTGTAGAGAGGTGTGACAGCAGTAAGGTGTTTCCCTTGGACAACCAGCATCTGCAGCCATGCTGCCTTCTCACACCGAAGGAAGGGTTAGAAAAGGTCGACCCTAAAAATGTCACACCGCACCCTACCTCACGGATTTCCGTCTCCAGCGGTAAGAGTGCCCACATAGGGCTTTTAAGAGCGAAGCTAATACGCAAAAAACTTCTCATAAAAACCCTGTGCATGACCAGCCTCAAGCAGTTGTCCCTTGGGCTCTGCGATCACGCACCCAGGTCTCTAAGACCAACACTAATCTATCTTCCTTTTGCAGATCCCTCAAGAAACACCCTTCCACAATGTGTGGCAGCCGGGAAGTGACATCTGCGACTCATACCCGTAACAGCATGCGAGACTGACTGACTGACTGACTAGCTGACCCATGTTTCACACCTACAAATTAAATTAAAAACTACACCACCTTGAATATTAACTTACCGTAACATCAAATTCATCAACTGTATACCTTCACCTTTTAAAAATCGATCTTTATTCTCTGGTAACATTAATGCACTGCATAAACAATCAAATAAATTTAGCATTAATTCAATCTCTTCTTGACTTGTAGGATCATGTCGTTTATAAACAGATAATTGTTGTAACAATATGTCGATACCATCTACTTCACCCAATTGGCGACGATTCATTTCATCCATTTGCAATAGGATCGATAATAATTCACTAACATATAATTTATTTTTATCATAAATTGGACGTTTTTGTAAACGTCTTAATAACCATGCGAATAAACCTTGATTTGCCATGGTCACATTCATATCTGGACGAATTTCTAATAGGCTTTCAATAATACCTATAAATATGAAATATACAGAGAATATAATTAGAAGAAAACACAAGGACTTGTGGAATGAAACGCTTACTTACTTACTTGCTTACTTCCCTACTTACTTACCTACTTGCCCACTAACTTACTTACTTACTTATTTACTTACTTACCGGAACCTCTGCGGCGCCTCCTCTCTGTCCACCGGGCTGTCGAACTCCGTCATCAGCCGCCCGGTGACCGTCTCCCACGCCGTCTTCCCGGCGGCACCGTCCAGGCTGTCGTACACCACCTTCACCTCACCTCGCCGCAGCGTCCCCAGCACCGGCAACTCCGCTCCGGGCCCCTTCACACCTACCAGCTCCACAGCGGCCTAAAACTCCAGCAGGAAGCTCGGCAAATCTCCGTCCTCCAACTCCTTCGGCCACGGGAGCACCTTCCTTCGAGCAGGCAGCGACACCAAATGTAGTGAACGAGAACACAGGTGGGGTAACCGGGTTGTATTTAGCGGCAGGCACACTCTCGATAAATTGCGACGCCGACAACTGTGCCCCCGACTCCCCATCCATACTCGGCAGCGTACGGCGCAGCAACATCGTGAGCTCCACAGCCAGCACCAACGGGGCACCGACCAGTATTCTCCAATCTACTCGGTCCTAAGTTTGTCTTTTTCGTTCTGTCCAACTGTTGCGCATTCTTTTCATACGTCTCCAATTCTCGGCGTAATGTGTTCTTTGGCAATCCACTTTTTTGTTGGCTTTGAAGAATCCAGATGAACGTTTGTCTTGTGATGCAGGTGGGTGCTTTCCGTAGTATGTGTGTCCTATCCACTTCCACCGCTTCTTCTTTCACTGGAATCTGGTTTGTTTTCTGCCAGAGTAGGTTGTTGCTGGCAGTGTTTGGCCAACGGATCTAAAGTATTTTGCGTAGAAAACTGTTCACAAATGCTTGTATCTTCTGGATGATGGCTTTCGTAGTTTTTCAAGTTTCCGCCTAATACAGTAGAACTGTCATAATATTTGTATTGAAAATTGTGACTTTGGTGTTGGTTGGTTGGTTGGTTGGTTGATATTTGTTGTGTTCCAGATTCTGTTCAGTTGTAGAAATGCAACCCTTGCTTTGCCCATCCACGCCTTCAGATCTGCATCAGATTTACCTTGCTCATCAATAATGCTGCCCAGATATGTAAAACTTCTCTAACAAGCGTGATTCTGTTGGTGCATGTTGTGTTGTATCGGGAAATTTCGCTTTTTCCTTTGTGTATGTTGAGACCAGCTGCTGCCCAGGCTGCCGATACACTACTCGTCTTCTCTTGTATTTGTTGTTGCGTGTGCGATAGAAGAGTCAGATCATCTTCAAATTCTAGATCGTCCAGCTGCATTCGATTTGTCTTATGTATTCCGTGCTTTTCCCCAGATGTTGACATCTTCATAATACAGTCGGTCACCACGAAAAAGAGAAAGGGTGAGAGTATGCAAACTTGTATGACAATGGTTTTCACTTCGAACGATTATGTGAGCTGTCCTCCATGCACGATTCTGCAGTTTAATCCATCATTAGAATACCGTATAATAAAACAGTGTAGAACAATTTCGAAACTCAAGAATCTAAGGGGTAAACAATAAGTGAATACATCTATGCCATTATGATTTTAAACCAAGTCACGCAACAGCTTCAACCACCATTGGTATAAATCATCACATAGATCCTAGCCAGATAGTGTGCACCTATTGACGCGAATCAGATCAACATTAGTTGACTTAATTTGGCTGCCACTAGCCTTTTTTTAAAACTTACCATAACACAAGCAAAAATCGCATGTCGTAAGTATGTACATAAGTTCAGGTTGCTACACTACATTAACACAGAGACGCAAATGTCAAATCAAATCCTATGGTGATACAGATAGTAGAGGTATTAATGGTAATGAAGAAGACTAGGGTTTAAAGATATTATTCAAGAAGTATAATTTAGTGAGATAAGGTTAGAAAGACAAAACTAGAGGTGCTGGCGAATCCAGAAGATTAGAATTTGAGAGAGCACAACAAATGGATGCCCCTGCGCCATTGCAAACGATTTTGAGCCATGTCGTTCAAGGTCTCTAACCATTGGTGACTTTCGTCTCGCAGACCCCAACCACGTAGCCTACATCTACCAACATGACTCAGTCCACTTGTTAGTGACTTCATGGATTTATGCCATGTTTTAGTCTGGCTGCCCGTAACTTTCTTCCAACCTACTCATACACCACAAAATATAGCTCGTCGAGGCAGTTGGTTGTGACATATATTTCTATCTATCTTACTTACTACGTACTTACGCCTGTTACCCTCCAAAGGATCATAGGCCACCAACCAGCATTCTCCAACCTACTCTATCCTGGACCTACCTTTCTAGTTCTATCTAATTGTTGATCTCTATCTATCAGTTACAGTTAATTAACCATAAATCTATTATTCATTGGTGTATTACAAATTTTTACAAGTTCTATATTGACTGAATGTGCTGTGATTTTGATCATACGTCCCTTAAGTCTGTTGTATGTGTGTGTTTTATTCAGTGGTGAAGTTGACGATTCGATGTATACCATATTCTGAGTACGTAGGCTTATCATAATTAATTATTATTGGAGGTCGTGAGCTCGACTCTTAACGTTAGTGTACATGATGTGAACTTAAAAGAAAAGTATGTAAACAGAAGATTATTTTTGGGGGAATATTCTGTCTGAAATAGAGAAACAGTTAAAAAAATCAATCAAACGATAAGTGTACGTGATTGGACAAGAAGTTGCTTTCATTTATAAAAGATGAGAAATACACACCAATAGTGATTTTATTTTTTATAGTTGATTGAGTTTGGACTTCCGTAGGTCCGTAGTCTTCGATCATCGATGTCTCCGAAGAATTGCTCGTGTATCATGGGACAACCGTTTAAGCAATGCTATCGTTAGGAAACGAGTTCTAGGCAGGGATGGCAAATCAATAGATGAAGTAGTGAAACTTCATCAGTTCAGGTGGTTAGGACATGTGTTACATACGACTAACCATAGACTGCCGCGACGAGCTATGTTTTGCATTGTAGGAGTAGGTTGGAAGAAAGTTAGGGGCGGCCAAACTAAAACATGGCAGAAATCCATGAAGACACTAACAAGTGGATAGAGTCATGTTGATAGTTGTCGACTACCTGGTTGCGGTCCGCGAGATGATAGTCACCGATGGTTAGAGACCTTGAACAACGACGTGGCTCAGAATCGTTTGCAATGGTGCAGGTGCATCCACTCTTTATGTTCTATGAAATTCTAATCTTCTGAATTCCTCATAATCTCTACCTTTCTCCTTCTAAATTTATCTTACTGAATTATACTTCTTGAATACTGTCTTCCAGCCCTTATCTTCTCCGTTACTGCTACTACTTCTACTATGGCTATCACTGTTGGATTTGAACTGACAGTTGCGTCTGTGTTGATGTGGTATGGGGCAACCTGAACTGATGATGTACTTACGTGCGTACGAAGTTCTGCGTTGTATCTGTCTGTCTGTCTGTCCGTCAATCAATCAACTCCGTTTCTCACCATCTATCAGTTTAGTCAATTCAATTAGCTGGTTAGGGTTTGAGTATGATGAGTATGAACTATGGTATAAATGTAGTAAACGAGAACACAGGCCGGGCAACCGAATTGTATTTAACGAAAATTACAGAGTTACTCAGTAAAATCGGAAAACCATATCGTAAATCGTTCATTTGCAAAATATCAGTTCATCATATCGAACTGGACTGTTCCTGTTGCAAACAACATCAATGCATTGTCACTATTCATACGTTTCATACAAATTCCATTGTGTTCTAACTAACTCTTCCTTTCTTGATTATTCCCCCATCTTCTACTGCTGCCAGACATTACGTTGACTGACACTCACGTCATATACTACTACTTATAAGTAGCTCACACCACATTAATATCAACTATTGAACATTGTACATTGTAACACAAATATATCAATAAATTGAATAATTGTACATTGAACCGATATATCAATCACTAATTCTCTTTGTTTTGTTTGTTTTTTTTTTACTTACCAAGTGTTTTATGTACACCATCAGCTTCATCTTTTTTAGTTTCATCTAAACGTGAAATATTTTGTATAATTGATTGAATTAATTGACCAGAAAATAAAACTTCCAATAATGGATTGACTTTGTTTAGACCAGCTTCTTGTAAACAATTTGATTCAAGTAATTCATGTAGGAGATCAATTACTGATAAACTAATATCTGTATTTTCATGGGCTAATAAACCTAACAACAAGGAGATTGGACGTTGTTGTTCAGCTAACAATGGATATAATTCTGGATTAGCTGCAAGTACCTTAAAAAGAAAGAAAAGAAAAGAAAAGAAAAGAAAATATTGAATGAATGAACTGTTGAGAATTGTTTTTTTTTGGAGAAGAAGAAGATTTGAAGTGATAAGTCGATTGTCTGAATATAGGTTAATGTGAAGTGACTTGCTATAATGACATTGTGGTGCGCGCTACTTATAAGTAGTATATGATGTGAGTGTCAGTCAACGTAATGTCTGGCAGCAGCAGAAGATGGGGGAAGATCAAGAAAGGAAGAAGAGTGGGAACACAATATGGAATTTGTATGAAACGCATGAATAGTAACAATGGATTGATGTTTTGTAACAGGAACAGTCCAGTTCCATAGGATGAACTGATCTTTTGTAAATGAACGATTTACGATATGGTTTTCCTATTTTACCAATTAACTCTGTAATTTGAGGTAAATACAATTCGGTTGCCCTCACCAGTGTTCTCCTTCACTACAACATGTACATTATAGTGACTTCAAATATTATCCGACCTGATTAACTGGATAGGATAGTTAAAAAAATGACTAAGAGATTTGTTCGCTATACACTAGATGCCGAACTCAGTGGTGGTACAGAGGTTAAGCGTTTGTGTGGAAGACTAAAAGTCCTTGGTTAGTCCATGGATGCGAAACATGGCCGTTAAAAGTAGAAGATCTTTGTAGATTACTAATATTCGATCATAGATGTTTAAGGAGCATGGCTCGTATATCCTGGGACAACCGAGTAAGCAATGCTGTCGTTAGGAAACGAGTACTAGGTAAGGATGGCAGATCAATAGATGAATTGGTGAAACTTCATCAGTTGAGGTGGTTGGGACATGTGCTGTGTATGCCTAACCATTGACTGCCTCGACGAGCTATGTTTTGTGGTGAAGAAGTAGGTTGGAAGAAAGTTGGAGGCGGCCAAACCAAAACATGGCACAAATCCATGAAGTCTCTGACAAGTGGACTGAGTCATGTTGGTAGATGTAGACTACCTGGTTTGGGTCCGCGAGACGAAAGTCACCAATGGTTAGAGACCTTGAACGATATGGCTCAGAATCGTTTGCAATGGCGCAGGTGCATCCATCTCAAACTCTAGCCTGAATTCCTGATAATCTCTATCTTTCTCCTTCTAAATTTATATTACTGAATTATACTTCTCGAATCATATCTTCGCTCCCTAATCTTCTCCATTACTGCTAATACTTCTGTTATCGCTATCACTCCTGGATTTGAACTGACAGTTGCGTCTCTGTGCTGATGTGGTATGGCAACCTGGACTCATGTAATTACGTACGACGTTCTGCGTTGTATTCGTCTGTCTGTCTGTCTATCTGTCCTTGGTTCGAATCTTGTAAGTAGCAGGAATCGCATGGATGCGCACTGCCATTGATGAATCCTCCTTATACCAGGAATAAACAGACGTCTTACAGTGCTTTCAAGTTTTTAATAGTGACCTAACAATGATTTATTCATGTTTGCTTAATCAACACATACGGGGATAGTAAACTGAGTAAATTGAGTAAAACTTTTTCCAATTATTTATTTGACTTCATAATATATTATTATATGAGTAGTGTTTCTATTTAGTATACCCCACTTAAGCTAGTGAAATCTTCTAGATTTACAAACTGAATTTCACATTTGGTCATCATCAACTTACTAGAGTGGTGGGTTAAGACGGAATTTCTCATTTACTATTGTACCCGACCGTAGCTGCTACCTGGACGTGGTGATCGGGCTTGCCTATCGCCATGACCCAACCGAACTATATTGGCTGGAACATATGTTCCTGAAGGTTCTACCATGCCACGCAGGTCGATTGGAGAACGATCAGATTAAAAGCAGCTACTCAAGGTCTGAGGGCGAAGTCGTACTGCTGACTGACTGCAGACGGGTGTGACAGCAGTAAGGTGTTTCCCTCGGACAACCAGCATCTGCAGCGATGTTGCCTTCTCACAAGGAACCAAGGGTTAGAAACGGCCGACCCTAAAAATGTCACACCTCACTCTACCTCACGGATTTCCGTCTCCGGTGGTAAGGGTGCCCACTAAGGGCTTTCAAGAGAGGTGATAATACTCAGAAAACCTTTCATAAAAAAGCCGTGCGTGACCGGCTTCAAGCAACTGTCCCTTGGGCTCTGCGGTCACGCTCCCAGGTCTCTAAGACCGACACTAATCTACCTCCCTTTCAGGTCCCTCAAGAAACATTCTTCCACGGTGTGGGCATCCGGGAAGTGACAGCACAAGAGACCAAATTGGTCAAAATCAAATCCTACTATTGTATAACGAGATACTGAACTTAGAATGAAGTGTTTAAAAGACTTGTCACAAATAATGAAAATCATAAACGACAATTCTAAGGGAATAATAAATAATAACCAAATTAAGTTGACAGAAGGTGGAATGTGTTTAACTTTTGTGTAATCAACCTAAAATATCCCTGAGAGTTATGTATATGCAGCATGGATGAACTTGCAAAAATTCTAGAAACTAAGCAGAACAATAATTTAACACGAAACTGGTGGTCTCAGCCTGATTAACTGATTTTACAAGAACCATAAAGCAAAGCAGCTTACAACTATGTCATATAAACCAATTACCTAGTATATTACTGACATACTTAGCGAATAATCAATTTCTAGACGTATGCCCTGATACGATTGAGAACAGGAAGTTCGCCTCGTCTCTTGAAATCTATTCACATGACCACATGTATATAACAAATGTCAGGAAAGTTGAACTCACAGCCTTTTCGTGTCAAACGTGGTGTGTATCAAATCGAGAAGACAAAAATCGAGTGTCCAGCATTTTAACCGGGTTGGTGGATACGGACAGTCTACCTATGGGATTGGAAAACCCTGACTCCAAACCAATGACAATGCACATGAGATGCAGGATCCTGACGGATCTAATGGCTTATGAACCTATTATTAATCATTAGCTACCTTGGAACTGCATCTCCTTACGTTAGGCAATATGAGAAGAGTTAGTCGTGAAGATAAATGGGATGTTAGGAGGTGTAGGAAGGATTTGTTTGTGACTAATTTGATCTCGCGCGTTGTTACGGGTATGAGGGCGGTTGTCATTTCCCGGCTGCCCACACCGTGGAAGGGTATTTCTTGTAGAACATTAAAAAGAAGGTAGATTAGTGTCGGTCTTAGAGGCCTGGGTGCGTGACCGCAGAGTCCAGGGAACAACTGCTTGAGGCCGGTCACACACCGCTCTTAGAAACCCTTAGGGGGCAACCCTCACCGCCGAAGACGGAAATGCGCGAGGAAAGGTGAGGTGTGATATTTTTAGGGTCGACCTTTTCTAACCCTTCCTTCCTTCTGAGAAGGCAGCATCGCTGCAGATGCTAGTTGTCCGACGGAAACACCTTACTGCTGTCACACCCCTCTACAGTCGGCAGTACTATTTCGCCCTTAGACCTCGAGTAGCTGCTTTTAGTCTCATCGTTCTTCAGTCGACCTGCCTGGCATGGTAGAATTTTTAGGAACTTATGTTCTAGCCAATATAGTTCGGTTGGGTCATTACGACAGGCAAGCCCGGCCACCACATCAAGGTAGCAGCTACGGTCGGGATTCCCTACGTTGCTCCACTGTTTTATAGATTAGACCTTTCCGTCTAAGGTTCGGGAAGTAGCCTCCTACGAAAACCACCTCCTCGGTATAGGCACGCGGACAGTATCCCAGCATACACATAAATTCATTGATTTGCCTTGCCCATAAGTAATTAAGTTTACTATGTGTACCAATGTTTGTGAGTTTAAATAAATAGCTAATTAATGAATTTCGACGTTTCTAAGTAAGAATGATCTATTTAGACAGAATATGGCTAATCAAAGTTGATCTTGGGTAGCCTTTCATTAATGGTGAATTTCATAACACAGCTTTAGCATTGAAACTCATAATAAATAATTAATAATCAGGCACTTATATTAAGACCTATTATAAAACACTACATGCTACTAACTTGCATCTCCTCTAATGTTTCTTGTAGCTCCAATTCTGACTGCATAAAACGCTTAGGTTGGTCAGGGAACTTAGTTCGAGCTTCCTGATTGCTTAGAGCACGTTTTTCAAGCAGTACAGTAAGTCGACGGACAGTTGCTTCGGTTACTTCATTTGCTCCAACAGTAGTAGGTTCATTACTTGTTTCAGCGTTCCATGAATCTGCTACACTGAACGGACGTGAAAAATCTGAAATACAGATATGAAACAAGGGATACTTTACAAAAGAAAACTATATAAATCAACATGAGGCCCCTAACGCTTTTAAGATATCAGTGAAAATTAGTTATTACCATCTGTTTCAAATACACCTTAAGTGGGACAAATACCAAATTAGTAGTTCAGGTTAACAAATATTTGTCTTTATATTTAGTTTGTTACATACAGAAGTACTATCTGTTAAGCGGGAATGCGGATTCCTTTCATTGTAGATTCCTTTGATGAAAAAATATCTTAAGAAGAGAAGGAAAAAACTACCACAACGGATCGAGAAAGGAGTGAGGAACTGTCACCAAAGATGATAATTCCTCTTTAGGTTTATGTGGTGTTTGAATGAACTAGTAACTTCTTGTTGTTGTGAAATGCTTGATTTCGAATTCTAAATACAATACATTCGTTTGTGCATATCTTTAATTCTTGATTCATATACTTCTAAGCATCACAGTGGCGTCGCGATGGAACTTGTAATGGAACAGCTAGATATTCATTCTACTTCTGAAGCTTTTGAAGATTATTTGGAAAGGTTTGAAATCTGGAGTATGACCAGGAAAGATGTCAAAGATGATAAAATTGTGGCTCATTTCCTAACATTCACCGGAAAAGAAGCGTACAGCTTATTGAAAACCTTGGCATATCCAGAAAAACCTATTTCACTTCCCTATGCAATGCTAAAGGAGTTATTATTGAATCATGTAAAGTGCCCTGGTTTTGAATGCCGTGAAAGAGCGAAATTTCATAAGATGATTCGTCAAAATGACCAAAATGTTAAGGAATTCATTCTTGAATTGCAGAAACAGGCTGTCAAATGTAATTTTGGTGATCAACTTCATGTGCAGCTGAGAGACCGATTAATTGCAGGAATTAACATACCTAGTTTGGAAAGAGAGCTGTTAAGAATGTCAAACTGTTCCTTTCAAGATGTTAGAACTGCGTGCATTAACTACGAGGCGTTGAATGAACTTGATATTCAGTCGATGAAGATTTCCAATATTTTGATTAGTTGTCATGATGAAAAACAATCTCAGGGTCAATCAAAATTGTGTTCGTTTAACAGAGGTTCCGATTCTCGTGTAAAAATGAACGGTGTCTCAAAAAAGAATTACAAAGGAAATCAAAAAGGTGAGACCAAGTTTGGCAAATGTTTATCATGTGGAAAACTTCATTCTCGTTATTATTGTACATTTCGTAATGCTAAATGTTTTAGATGTGGTAAGATAGGACACATTCAAGCAGTATGCAAAGCTACTGTTCATTTTGCCTCAAGTAGTACTAAAGCTTGTAATTTACATTCCAATAATTCAGTTGATCCTAATGATCATTTATCTTTGTCTACCATTTCGAAAGGTAATGCTCATATTCAAAAGCGACTATATACATCGCTTGGTTCATGTCAAGACTTTATTGTGGACACTGGCAGTATAGAGTCCATTATTTCATTCAAGAATTTGAAATTGTTAGATCCGAACGTTGTGATACGACCCACTGAAGCATCAATATTGGGGAATACTGGACACAAACTGCCTATACGAGGATGTTGTGAATTGCTAATAAGAGATGATAATTCCTCATATATACCTTGTGAATTTTTAGTTAGTGAAACAGGACTGTCAATACTGGGTTTAAAGAATTTGAGAAGACTTAAAGTGGAGTTGTCTTTCCTAGTTTCTAAAGAAAATTCTGATGCTTTACTTAAAGATTTGATAGCCACGTGTGCTAAGTGCAATGGAAGTATGAAAATGGTTCAGCACGGGAGTGCCAAGCAAATTCAACATGTTGACTACATTTCTCGACAGTCATTAAATGCAGATATTTGTCGTACAGCAAAGAATTGCGAAAAGTGTCATAAGCTGAAAAATCAGCATTCGAGGTTGAGTGATTCTATTGCCGCCTCAACATTTAATGAGCTGGAGAGGGGAGTAGATACCTTTCTACTGCAATATAGAAGTGCCAGACATTCGGTGACGAAAGAGACTCCATCAAAACTATTAAAAGGAAGAATTCTTCGGTCGAATATGAGATGTTTGGAGTCTGCAGAAGTTACATATTATTGTGGCAATGAACTTCGACCATCCACGGGGATCGTTCAGAAGAATATCGGGAAATCTATGGTGCGACTTCTAGATATCAATGACTTAAGTACACATAATCGACATGTTGATCAAATACAATTCCAAGAGCCAGGTGAGTCTGTTCCAATTTCGGTTGTTAATTCTAATACTAATGAGAGCATTCTAGATAATACAGAGTAGAATGCTCTCATTAGTATTAGAATTAACAACCGAAATTGGAACAGACTCACCTGGCTCTTGGAATTGTATTTGATCAACATGTCGATTATGTGTACTTAAGTCATTGATATCTAGAAGTCGCACCATAGATAATACAGA